ACTAGGGTTTGCTCACTCTTATCTGCTCCTGGTCTTTTCTACAGCCGGCACAATTCTGGTTGAGACAATCTTTCTCCCAAACAGGCCAAAAGCAGAGTTCTCACATTATATATATACATAATATATAAATACATTTAAGTATGGCGAGTATGTGAACAAGCAAGCTCATGTATAAACGAATAGAGAACGCCTTCAGACTCTGCGATGTTGTTTAGCCCAAAATTGCCTGTGTCACATTCATTTTCCCCATCGGCGATATACAAAGTCGCAACACACTCCGCCTGCTTGGGCACTGCGGCGAATGCACACGCGCGCGAACACGCGCACACGCACACACACGCAGAAAAAATCAATGCTGTATCAGAATATCATGTTTTCTATTGTATTGCTGCGACTGCTGTTGCTACTGCTGATGCTAATGTAGCTGCTATAGCGATGCCGCTTCTGAAAGTAATCCTGATTCTGCTGCTTCTGCTAATGATGATGCTGCTGCTGCTTCTTCTACTGATGTTTCTGATACGTATTTATTTTACCACGCGCTGAAATAAACCCACTGAGACGCGTGACAACAACGCCGCCTCTTTTGCGAGGACAACCTGGGTTACATCATGAACAATTTAAGAACGCATTATTTCTTAAAAATGAAATAAATTATGTTTTACTTTTAAATTTACCCAGTGGACTGCTCCTTACTGCTGCTGCTGCTACTACTTATGCCATTGCTATTACTGCTTTTCCTAATTTTACGACTGCTGCTGCTGCTGCTTCTAGTATTCATGTTTACTCTTCGCTGCTGTTGCTCCTGCTGTTGGAACTGCTGCTCCCACATCCTCCTGCTGCCTCTTATATCTACCGCTGCTACTGCTGCGACCGCCTCTCCTATTCCTTTCCATTCCTGCCGCTACTGACGCCGTTTCTCGCTGCCTCCTCTGGACTTGCCACAGGGCGATCTGATTAGCGCCACTTTCTGAAAGGGCGATCGAAGGGGGCAGGGGAATGGTTTCCGTCTGATTGCATTGCCTCGCGTTCCTCCCCAAGTACCCTCACCCCTTCCTCCGCGTGTGTTATGGGGGAGGGGACAGCCCGGGCGGTGTAGGCCTGGCCTTAATCTTTTTTTTGCCAACAATTCAGAAGCCAGGGAGGGGCAAACGGGGAGTTTGTGAGCGAGGGTGGGGGGGGTGTTCCGTGATTTTCCTTCCTTTATTTGTGTTGCCTCGTTCCAACGCAGCTGTGAAACAAAATGCTGTGCTGTTTGTCTCACTTGGTGCTTACCGGGGGGAGCACGGGGGTGGGGGGGGGGGCTTTGTTTCTCACTGAATATTCCCCTGGGTTGCTGGTTCGACTTACTTACTGTAGTAGGCAGCGCCTTGCGTGATGAGCAAGTAGCCACGCAGCCATCAAGCGAGATGTCTCCCCGATGTGGTGTGCCGGGCGCGGAAATATTTTCTGGGTCACCGACCCAAACACACCCGGCTGAAATCAATCCCTTGTCCTCGTGCTCCCCGGCAGCACAGGATTTCAGGGCTTGCTGTCACGCACGCACCCACTGCACCCACGCACGCACGCGCCCGCTGCACCCACGCACGCACGCGCCCGCTGCACCCACGCACGCGCCCGCGTGCTTTTGTGGCTCACAAAGCCGAGGGGACAAACGCGGGGTGGTGGCGAACAGCGCTCAGCTTTGTCAGAGCAAGCGGAGTCGTTTGCGCTGAGCGTTCGGAGAAAAAAATATATATTTTCTCTCTGAAAGACAAAGATCCCCCGTATAGCCTTTAACAGACTGTTGGGGAAAGTGCTGTGCTAGCGAGCACCGATGAAGGTCGGCACGGTACACGAAGGGGTATGGTGGCCAACACCACGCCCGACCGCCTTTGTCTCCCCAGTGGCCATGATTTTACACACTGTCCCAAGTAGCTCATTTGATGCTCAGTCGACCTAGAGAACGCCCAGGACCGATTCAGATAATCGTCGCTGGTGTTGGCCATGAGCGGGTATCCGTCTCGGATCGTGGAATCCATAGCGCAGCGCGCTAACCGCAACACTACCGCACTCTCTCACACACACACGTGCTCGGTGGCTACCGGGGCGCCGTTATATTCAGGGATTAAGTCCTCGCTGAAAATGTTCCGGGTCGCTGGTCGATTTAAGTAAGTGGCACGTGCCGAGTAGTTGGAGCCGTCGCAAGATGTATACCGGGTGCGGCGTGCCCAGTGAGGAAACATTATTCTGGAGCACCGACAGAGGCTAAGCTGGCCGGGATGAAATGAAACCCTGGTGACATCACAGCGACGTGAGCCCAGCTCTCCATCGGTCATCCCTCCGGAAGGGACCTGTGTCTCGTCGCGTTCTCCGATCGTTATAAATTTGGTTCGTAATCTTTTCGCCCTTTGTCAGTCCACTGCTGGATGAAGACCCTCACTTCCCGCGCCGTGTCAGCCGTGCCGCTTTGTTGACCACACTTTCAGTGAGGGAGGGTTGGTAGAAGGAGGGCAGAGGCCGGGTTCAGATAACTGCACACCGCTGATGTTACTCGCGTAGTCTGTCAGTGTGCACGATCGCATGACTATGTAGCAACAACTGAAATGAACCGCGCTTTTTTTCAGTGTGACAGTCATTCAACCTTTTCATAGTCTTGACTGCAAAAAACAACTGCTGCTGCTGGAAGACATTGGTTCCCTAAGCCATATGGGCCAAAGGACAACACTATTCAGAGACAAAAAAAATGTTGTGTAGAGAAACAGATTTCCTGTGGGTGTATTATATATTTGTTACGTTACGTGTAAGTAATTATGGGCTTGGGAGTGGAGCGGTTGCGCAGTGGATGGCGAGCCGAGTTCGATTCCCAGCCGTGGCAAACAGTGCCGAATGATATCTGAACCGTTCTAAGCACCCAACCGCTCCCGCAACACCACCCAACCTTCACCAGCCCACACTGACCAGCGTGGTCAAGTATGGTCAAAGCGACGCCCGCGACCTATCCGGCATGGAGAGGAGACCTTCATCCAGGAGTGGATTGACAAAGGGGGGTGCACATTTAAGCTATTAACTTAAAATAGGTACGGTTAACATTCCATTCGAGCGGTTAGTGGAGCGGTTAGTGCGCTGCACTATGAACCGGTCTACCCGAGTTTGATTCCCGCTCAAGGCGAACACCAGTGACGATTATTTGAACCGGTCTCAAGCCGTCCCAAGGTCAACTCAGCCTCAAATGAGTACCTGCTGCGGTGTGTAGTAAACGTCACTACTCGGGAGACAAAGGCGGCCAGGCGTAGTGCTGGCCACCCACCCCCTCGTGTGCCGTGTCGGCGGTCATAGGCGCCCGCGAACAGCCCTTGCCCCAACAGTCTGCCATAGGCTATAAGGGGGGGGATCTTTGTCTTTGTACGTGTCTTCACCCCAAGACTGTTTTACTCTTTGGTGTTGCCCGCTTATGCGAGTGTTTGTTGGCGGAGGTTGTGTTCATTCGCCATCGTGTTTATGGCCGTTTTATCATTTCTTTTGCGGCCGTTTTCTCAGCGAAAATGCCGTGATCGTGTTTCTGCATACATGAACGACTTTTATTTGCTTTGTAATCAGCTCAATTTGGCGATTAAGTTCAGCACCCAGACATGTAACATCGCAAGTGCCATGTGATTGTTTAAATTCAACATTTACGCGCAACAAACAACGAGACCTCATTACAGCCGGGTGCGACGGATGGCGAATATACAACAACAACAACAAAATGGCAATTTTATGATTCATCGCCACGCTTTAATTTTTTGTTTAAGTTTTTCGCTCACCAGCGTTCTAAGAATGCCACTGTCAAGCGGCGTGAGTGAAAAATCGTGCGGGGGATGGCAAGAGACACGTTTGGACGTTTTGCCGTCGCAGGATTTATGGGAGGATAAGTAAAGCGGTAATTGTTTGATTTTCGGCCAAGACAAAAAAAAAGTCACGGCGGAATGGGATTGTCATGTTAAGCACCGTCAGTGCGGCGACAAACCCCACCCCCGTGCTTTTCCTTAAGTTGCTCAGGCCTCGCGTGTATGTTGCTCAGACACGTGCGTGTGCGAGTGTGTGTGCGAGTGCAGAGGCGAGCGGTAGTGTAGTGGTGAGCGCACTGCACTATAACACCAGCGACTCGAGTTTGGTTCTCGTTCGTGGCCAACAACAGTGACGAATATTTGACCAGGTGCTTAACCTCCCCTAGGTTGGCTCAGCCTTAAGTTATGACCTGGCATGGTGTGTACAAATCTGCAACTGGGGAGAAAAAGGCGGCCGGGCGTGGTGTTGGCCACCCATCCCCTCGTGTGCCTTTATAGGTGCTCACGAACAGCACTTGCCCCAATAGTCTGTTAAAGGCTATTTGGGGGATCTTTGTGTTTATGCTTAAGTGTGACTACACGTATACCTGCCTGAGTACAAGCTGAATATATATAATATTGCCAGGAAGTGTGTTTCACGTGCATTGTGTATTACCTGCCAAAGACCAACAGAAAAGCAACGTGTGCATATGCCTAAGGTGCTTTGAACATGGACATTGGCTTTGAACATGGACATTGACAAAGAGAACAGAGCAAACGCTGCGATGGGCACAAAGGAGTGTGGAGAAGTGCACGCTTGTAATTGGATGGACAGGAAAGAGGACAACATGGATCACAGATCATCTGCAGGTTCCAGACATCAAGTTGGAGACGTCATATTGACTGTTGAGAAAAGTAACTGGGCACGGAGCAGAATACAATGCTTGGGCAGGACACGTCACTGTTAGGGGCGATGGGCGGTGGTCGAGACGGATGGCGGAGTGGCAGCCGAAGGAGGGGGATGCGCTCAAGGGTACGTTTGTCGCTGACAGTCCGAAAGCGAGATGGATTAGTGCATCGCGAGAGAATGCGAGCGGCGGGGGGCATGCGGAGGCCCTAATCCAGCAGATCACGGTGGATAATCGTGAACATGTGCGCCATGTGTGTATTTATATGCGCGCGTGTGTGTGTATGTGCGTGTGTGTGATTAAGCAGCTCGCCTCCGCGGCCCAGCCCCGGCAGCCTTCGCTACTCGGATGAGGACCTGCCCTCCGAGTACGGCGAGGTGACCAAGTCGGAGCCCAATGGCAGCCTCAACGAGAAGCTCTCGGAGATCCCCGAGTCTCCGGTACCGTCCGCCGGACCTCTGCACTCACAAGCCCTTCCGCTGTTTCCGTGTGCCTCTTTTCCATTGGCACATCCGAGCCATGCTAGTCTGGAGACCTCACAGTTGGGGTGGTCTTCCACTGGCTATAAGCTGAGCCAGAAGCAAACCTTGCTTCATTGGCCTCGCAATGTATCTGAATCTGACTCAGTGGCAAGCAGGGCCAGGGGCGGAGCAAATGAGACATGCATGGCATTTGACGTCAATTAGAAGGCTGGTAGGACACATCATTGCCACGCCATTTAATCCATCTCAACTCGTACCCTACATGTGACGTCAGCAGCACGGCTCGGGTTCTGCAGTGGAAAAACAAGCTGGCACCTTCACGACCCGTACCGAGCCGCCTCCCCGTGGCCCCATCGTGGCTTGGTTGTACAATGGAGAAGGCATGTTTAGTCGCCAGTGCTATCAGGCGTGCAGGCAGTGCAACTGCACCGTGTCCCACGGGCCAGATGTGCTCAGCTACAAAAAGAGAGAGAGAAATTTGTCGGGAGGCACCATTTTATTCCTCGCACCAGGGCGCATGCCAACCACGCTCCCGCCATGGTCATCATCGTCATGCTCTGCTTCCTTACTTTACCAACATGTGCGGAACAACCCGTGCCTTAAGGGGCCCTCAATTGAGACAGAGCGATGAACGGTATAATGGACAATCTAATATGGACAATCTTGTCCATTATCGGTAATTTTAGTTTATTATCACAAGTATCGTTAATGTCTTCGTGAATTATCACTAAATAAATTAAATGTCAAAAATGTATCGCTTAAATTTAGTTCTACCCTTGACGTGGAAACGTCCGTAATTGTTATTACGGAAATAATATTTTTTAAATTTAATTAATCGTCACCGTCTCTAGGTTGTCGCTAATTATTGTGAGCTTCCATTGCGGCAGGTTCGCGTCTTCCTGAACGGTCGCGGTCGAACAGTCTGTGCCCGTCCAGCTTGACGTCTGTGACCAAATATAGTCGCGACGAATGGTCACGTGTTCCCCAAACAAATTAAAATTTATTTTTCTTTGTTTTTTTCGGTAAAGTCACGTAGAATGAGGATAAAATAATAAAATAAGACAATAAAATTCTCACGACGTTTCGGCCACAACACAAGTAGCCTTCTTCAGGTGAAGGAACAAAACTGTCGGGACGACAGAGCTTCATTGAACGCTGCTAAGATTAGTAGCGTCTTTTAAGCTTAAAAGACGCTACGAATCTTAGCAGCGTTCATTGAAGCTTCAAAGACGCTATGAATCTAAGCAGCGTTCATTGAAGCTCTGTCGTCCCGACAGTTTTGTTCCTTCACCTGAAGAAGGCTACTTGTGTTGTGGCCGAAACGTCGTGAGAATTTTATTGTCTCATTTTATTTTATTATTTTATTCTCAGTCTACGTGACCTTTACCGAAGATGAATCCTTGCAGTCACGAAAGCTTTAAATCGAAAAATAAAATTTCTTTGTGAACCATCCAAATAGTTTCGGGAATTAAATTCACGTTGTTTTGTAATGCGGGCGGCAGCGCCACTCTACAAAAAAACCCTCTGCGGTCGTGAGACCGGACTCGTTTACGTGAAATGTTTGACGTGTGCTCTCCCTTTCATTTGAACGCAAAACACATATAAAAAAACAACAAGAACAACAATCCACGTGTTCGCCATGAATGTGTTCTTGCCAGAAAGTTTTTTTCTGCAGAAATTGAAAACCATCCATTTTTTTCCCCAATGGGAGCCGAATATTACTTGAAAGGAAAAGCGATTAAGAGTCAAAGGTGTGCTCCAGTAAACCTCTGTGGCCGTCGAATCTACTTTCGTGAAGCACTTTGCCCCATATGTATTTTAAATCGTAAATTAAACAGATTTTTTTTAATACCCATAGCAATGCCTTTCATCAAGTAACTTTTTTGTTAAATATATTGTACTTTGTATTAATGGAATGGATATATTTATATAATTTTGGAAAGATTAAGGCGCAGCCCTAAATTTTCTTGCTGACGCCACTGCTGGCAGAGGGCCTCGACCCGAAGGAGCTCGAGAAAGTAGTGTTTTTAGCCTCCTCTTCTACCCTGACCAGACGCCTCGGAAGAGGTGGGAGAGCACCCACACTTTACCCAACCTCATGCAACCTCACGCAACCTCATGCAACCTCACGCAACCTATGAACTGGTTTACACTGTTATCCTGCTGCGTGGATCGAGGCGGTGTCGGGGGGGTGGGAGATTCAGGCCACCTTCCCCATTTATTTAACTGCCACGCCGGGAGATAGCATCGAACTGGCGTCATCTAAATCGCAAATCCGATGTGCTAACCATTACTACACGACAGCATGTTGGTTATTTTATTTTATATATATGTGCGCGTGTGCGTGTGTGTGGTGATTAATTTTAAACCCTAATAAGAAAGTGCCAATGTAGTTTTAATTTGATCAGTGCAGCTTGTTACATAGGCACTGCTAACATTTGGCGCGCATAAAGTGGTGATTGAAACCGAGTGCTCTGTGGCTTACCCAGATTTCCCATCTGCCCTGCAGTTGGAAAATTGCATACCAAACTTTGTTTTATATTAATTGACTTTTGTTTGACTTATTTTCTTTTTAATCTAAGTAACCAAAAGTGCTTTGTAGCCCCATATATGGAGTTGCAAGATGTTGTCAACGAGCAATTAGCAAAACGCAACATGCCATCTAATGCTGACGCGTTTTAACATTCAGCATGGTGTTCCTTAAAGAGGGTCTTCTCATTCCTTCTGATCGTCAACAAGCTTTGTTCCTGTTGGGAATGGTTCTCGCCGGGTCCTCCAGAGCCCAGTCCGAGTTGTGTGCAACCGTCATGGGGGTTGGTGGATAGACAGAGAAGTATCTTCCGTTCCTCCCCTTTCTGCACGGTCTCCCCGTTGCAAGCTCGCAAGAGAGAGAGAGAGAGACAGAGGCAGTTTCTCAATGGGCTAATGTGCCTACTGTAGCATATTGTGCTGTGTACTTGTACGGTCTTCGTTGTCAATCCACTGCTGGGTGAGGGACTTCCCGCGGCGGGGGGGGCGGGGGGTGAGAGGCGGTTATTAGACTTCGCCAAGCTGGTCAGGGTGGGTTTAGTCTAGGCGGCAAGCACGGGCGTGGGAGCATAGTACATTACAAAGACGGATTTACAGCACGGCTCATCGACTGCCTACGGCATCACTCTGCAGCAGCCTATGATCACCCGTGGCATCTATATTTTTGTTTTCCTCGTGTAAATAAGTACGTTTATATTTACACCAAGGAGGCGTATTGTTCTGCTCATCTAGTTTGATGTGTCATCCGTGGTAGTCACCCGTCCAAGCACACTGCAGGCCAAATCCCGTTTAGCTTGCGAGAGCTGATGATATCTGGAGCATTCCGAGTAATTTGGCCTGAGGCCTGGTAAAATTATGGTTGTCAACATTCCCCGTTTTCCCACGATAATCCTCTTTTTTGAGGTAGCTGCCGCTTGCCTGAGATATCTGTAAGGCTTCCCGGGATATTAAGAAAAGAGTAACGCAGCACTCGAGACAATGCCTACACATGCAGCTCCCCCCTTTCGTCTGGCATTGTGAGATATTTCCCTTTACATGACACGCCTCGCCGCTTTCCTTTTTTTTTGCACATCAAGAACTGGCAACCCCAAGTAAGTAGGGAGACTTAGCTGAACATTCCTTTACTTCCCACCGCATCGTCTGCCTCGACAACATGCACTCCCCCCCCCCCTCGTGTCCCCCGTTTCACCGCGTCCTCTCAGCACGTCTCCAAAGCCACTTGCAGCCAAAAGATCCATTTGGTCGCAAAAAAAAACAGCCGCAGCATGTTTCCAGAGAGGGCCCCTCGCAGTGCCGTGATTAATTGTAGAGCCAGGACGCTTACACAGGAAGCATCCAGATTCCTTCTGGACCCTGAGGGTCTCTTTACTTGGAAGGCCGCTCCCATCCCTCGTAGCCTCTGCTGTGCCGTTGACCCCTTGATCCGATGACCTAGCAGGAAATCCCAGCTCTCACAGTGTGTGTCTTCCTTACGAATACCTAATTGATGATTGGGAGGTAGGGGTTAGGTAGTTGTGGTGGTCACGGTGGTGATGGTGGTGGCTGGTGCGGTGGCGTTGGCTGGTGGCAGTCGCAGCAGTGGTTGGCGGTGGCTAGTGTTAGCCACCTCCAAGGTAAAACTAACCGTGACATTTCAGAAGAAGAATACGATCTCTCAATACCGCAAGAGAGGAGAACAACATGTGAATGCGTCGCCTTGAGCGGTTCATTATTACGCAACTGAGAAAAATCCGGGACCTTTAATTGTCTAGAAATATTCACAGATTTCCCAGGGCAGCAGCTGCCTCAACAAGGGGAAGATTTTCTGGGTTGCATGGTGCCGTACGGGGGTTGGTGGCACACACCTGGTAGCTGCAGTGGCTGTAATCACAACATTGATGTTGGAACTTTGAACTTGAAATGTTAAGCGAGTGCAGAGGTCGGGACCCGGAGCCATCCCTTAACCAGTCACCAGGATTTGTAGGAAACAATAATATCAATGTGAAATCGTGAGCACGTGTATGCAACTGGCAGAGCGTGTTTACCTTCTGTCATAGGAAATTTAGACCTTTCCCTGCTTAAAGGTATAGGAATAAAAATAGTAATGATTAGGCCCCATGCTACTCCACGACCGGATGGAGTCCTAACCACGCCATGACGGACATGGAGCGGTAGTTTGACTATACTTCACCAAGCTGGTCAGGACGGGTTGGTGAAGATGTTGGCTCAGGCAACAACAAAAACCGGTTCAGTTATCACTCATCACTGATATTAGATTCGAACTCAGGTTGTGCCTCAAGTCGCCTGGTTCGTAGCACTACGCGCTAATCACTTGCACCACCGCTCCACCCGTGCTTGAGATGTGTTGAGCCGGGGTGTGGGGACCTCAAACCTGCGGTCCGGCACTTTGGCTGCAAGGGTTGGTGGATCACGTACAGCTGGGTTCCGGA